ACCCCCTAGCTGATGGGAAAAAAATCTTGTACTTCCTACTTTTCCACAATCCACCGTCCCTCAAGGGGATGGTGCACAATCTAAGCTTAAGCTCTTAAGGAGATTTGCTGTATTAAGAAAGACAAAAGGTTCCAGATCCGAAAAGAGTTGCAGCAAAGGATATACATTTTGACGATCTACATGCGCTGCATTTCGAGGGTTTCGTCACCAGAGGGCAGGATTTATAGCGACATCTATGTAAATAAACCATCCGGTTGGTTGTCAGTAATCCTAATCCTTGGTGATGTATCGCCCGCCGGAGGGGGGGGGGGCACTCGACTTAGATAACACAGAAATCAAAAATGACTTACAGTGCCATATTGGGTGAGGATTCAATTCTATGCGAGATAGTGTCGCAGACAAGCATTTTATGGTGGTGCTGTGATTCGTTCGTTATTGTTGTGATATACCATTAGAACATGTTAGAGGTGTTTAATTAGTGGTGATTAACCTCTATTTTACTTGGCTCAATTCACATCTAAAACTCAGCTAGTGTATACATTGTAGCATGAAATATCACTATTATGCAAATGAGGTAATGTGCTCTACAAAGAAACCTACATACATACAAACACATGCTTTGAGCACCATATTTTTGCTGCAGAAATTTTGGTGCAAAAAATTGCAAATTTACGATTTTTTAGACAATTTTTGCATTAATTTTTGGACCAAATGAACTTATTTTTTTTATTGGATACATATCATGATCACTGTTTTTGTAAAAAAAAATATGGAAAAAATATATTTTTTGAATGATAACAAAAGTTGACTTTGGCTTGATGTGAAGTGATTCAAAATAATATGCTGATCAAACACAACAGAATAATATATAATATATATATAATATATAGTTAAGATGCAACAATATGGGCAATGGAATATTGTAATATCTAAAATGAAGTGATCAAATCGGTCCACAAAAGCTTCAATTAAATATGATTAAAAATTCATCATCTCTGGAATGAGTGGTAAAATTAAACAGTAATATTGATTGTAAATGAGAAAATAATGCTTGAAAATTTAAAAATAAATGAATATAATGAAACATATGGCACAGTGCTATCATATGAAACCAATATAAAGACTACTATTAGAATGAACATATGGGAAGGCACACA